TATATATATATATATATATATGTATATATATATATATGTATATATATGTGTATGTGTATGTATGTGTGTGTATATATATATATATACATATATGTATATATATATGTGTATATATATATATATATTTTGCCCCACTCCCCTCAGGAAGGAGGTTAAGGAGCATTAAGTGTAGAACCACTAGACTGAGGAACAGCTTCTACCCTGAGGCTGTTAGACTCATGAATCTCTAACTAGAATAATCACTGTGAAAAACCATATCATGTTGCTGCTGATCTGTTTCATGTTGCTGCTGATTTGTTTCAATGTTGATGTGTTCATGCGTGCACATCTGCTCACAGACTCATGTTCATGTTTGTGCTGATGTTCAATGTTTTATGTTATGAGTGCTTAGTGTATATTTAGTTGATGTTTTTCTTAGTTCATATCTTAGATGTTATTACTATTTTTCTTATACATTTTATTGTTGGATGTAACTGGGACCCCGTGTACATAATTTCGCTCCACCACATGTACCACATGAGGTGTGAATGACAATAAAGAAACTCTGACTCTGACTCTGATGTATATGTATGTCTTTGTCGCACCTTCCTCTTTATGATGCGCCAAATGTTCTCTATAGGTGAAAGATCTGGACTGTAGGCTGGTCATTTCAGTACCCGGATCCTTCTCCTACGTAGCCATGATGTTGTGATTGCTGCAGAATGTGGTCTGGCATTATCGTGTTGAAAAATGCAGGGTTTTCCCTGAAAGAGATGACGTCTAGATTGGAGTATATGTTGTTCTAGAACCTGAACATAGTTCTCTGCATTAATGGTGCCTTTCCAGACATGCAAGCTGCCCATACCACAAGCGCTCATGCAACCCCATACCATCAGTGATGCAGGCTTCTGAACGGATCGTTGATAACAACTTAGGCTATCCTTCTCCTCTCTGGTCCGGATGACATGGCATCCCAGTGTTCCATAAAGAAATTCAAATCGTGACTCATCTGACCACAGAACAGTCTTTCATTTTGCCACACTCCATTTTAAATGACCCCTGGCCCAGTGCAAACGTCTGAGCTTGTGGAGATTGTTTAGAAATGGCTTCCTTTTTGCACTGTAGAGTTTCAGCTGGCAACGGCGGATGGCACGGTGGATCTTGTTCACTGACAATGCTTTCTGGAAGTATTCCTGAGCCCATTCTGGTATTTCCTTGACAGTGGCATTCCTGTTTGAGGTGCAGTGACGTTTAAGGGCCCGGAGATCACGAGCATCCAGTAGAGTTTTACGGCCTTGACCCTTATGCACAGCGATTGTTCCAGATTCTCTGAATGTTTTGATGATGTTATTCACGGTGGATGATGATAACTTAAAAGTCTTTGCTATTTTACGCTGGATAACACTATTCTGGTATTGCTGCACTATCTTTCTGTGCAACAACGGTGGAATTGGTGATCCTCTTACCATCTTGGCTTCTGAGAGACACTGACACTCTGAGAAGCTCTTTTTATACCCAATCATGTTGTCAATTGACCTAATTAGTGTTAATTGGTCTTCCAGCTGTTTGTTATATGCTCAATTTCCTTTTTCCAGCCACTTATTGCTACTTGTCCCAACTTTTTTGGGATTTGTTGACACTGTGAAATTTTGAATCAACATATTTTTCCTTTAAAATGTTATATTTACTCAGATTAAACTTGCTGACCCCATTCCTGCGTCGTTTTTCAAACAAGTTCTACCCACAATTGGACCCTCTGTTCTTATCATTATAAATAGTAGTATTGTGACAAGTGTGGTACCCGATGTTTTCAAACATGCAGTAGTTCATCCGTTAATTAAGAAACCTGGACTTGACCCTTCGACTTGCTCAAATTTCAGACCAATCTCAAAACTTCCCTTCCTGTCCAAAATCCTGGAGAAAATAGTTTTCATTCAATTAAACAAGTTTTTGAATGACAACAGAATATTCAAGATTTTTCAGTCTGGTTTTAAGCAACTCCACAGCACTGAAACAGCATTAGTAAGGGTTTGTAACGATATTATGATATCAAATTATTCTGGTCAATTTGTGGTACTTGTGCTCCTGGACCTTACTTTGATACTGTTGACCACAGTATCCTTATATCACGGCTGGAACAGTGGGTTGGGATCACAGGTGCTGCATTAGAATGGTTCCGCTCATACCTGAGTGGCAGGAGTTTTTGTGTCAAGGTTGGTAATAATGTATCCGCCTCATTACCTCTTTCTTGCGGGGTCCCACATGGTTCGATTCTTGGACCCCTTCTGTTCTCACTTCATTTGCTCCCACTGGGGTCCATCCTTAGGAAACATGGTCTTTCATTCCATTGCCATGCTGATGACTGCCAGATCTACCTGCCTGTGAAACCAGCAAGTGTTTGCTCCATTCACCCTCTGTTAAAATGTCTGGATGACATTAAGGCCTGGATGGCTTCAAATTTCTTAAGTTTTAACGCTGAGAAGACTGAAGTCATTGTCTTTAGCCCTAGCTCAACTGCTGCCACTGATCCTGTCAACCTGGACTCTCTTCATCCATATCTGAAGCAGTCTGGTAAAAATCTTGGGATAGTTTTAGACTCTGACTTCAAGTTTGACAAACAAATCAACTCTGTTCTGCAGAAAAGCTTCTTCCAACTCAGACAGGTAGCTAAGCTCAAGCCAGTGTTTTCCAGACCCGACCTAGAGAAACCAGTCCACGCCTTTGTCACGACCCGATTGGACTATTGCAATGCACTCTATGCTGGGGTCAGCCAGGCCTCCATCTCACGTCTTCAGCTCATCCAGAATGCTGCTGCTCGGCTTTTAACCGGAACTCGTAGGTCTGAACATATTACTTCAGTTCTGTCCTCCCTTCACTGGCTCCCTGTTCGTACTAGGATAATCTTTAAAATTCTTCTGTTGACCTTCAAATGCTTAAATGGCCTCGCACCCCTTTACCTCTCTGAGCTACTGGAATCTTACGTTCCCTCTCGGGCCCTGAGATCATATGATCAGCTGCTTTTGGCTGTTCCAAAAACAAAACTGAAGCTCAGAGGAGATCGGGCTTTTTCAGTCATGGGCCCCAAACTCTGGAACAACCTGCCCCCCAACATCAGACAGGCCACCTCCCTTCCTCACTTCAAATCCCTGCTAAAAACACATCTGTTCTCGCAGGCATTTCACACAGTGTAAATTGATATAGTGTTTTTTTTTTTTTTTGCTCTGTGACCCTATGTTTTAAATGCTTTTTATTATTTCTTCATTTATTATTATTAGTGTATTGTATTTTTTTCCTTTAATTTTACTTCCATTGATTGTTGTTGTTGTTGTTAAGCACTTTGATAAAGTTGACTTGACTTGACTAAATTTGCCAGAGGTTTGCAAACATGTATAAAAAACTTGAGTCTAAAGCCCTGCAACTCACAGGAGGAATCATTCATGAACGCAGTCTTGTCTCCTGCAGCCCATGAGGTATTAGCTTAGCATTAGCAACTTAACTTAGATTTAACTTTGTGAGAAAAGGCACATATTTTCTGTTGCAGTTTCACTGAACTCTTGAGTGTTTACACATTAATGACCAAGCGAGCCGTGTGGCTGCCAATTTTTGAAATTTGCCACTCATTTTTGTGTGCACGGCTTGCAGACGCACACATTTTTTTTGTCGACGTCTTAGCTGCCTTGACTCCACCAAGTTTACGATTTAATCAGGAGGAGAGTGGAAAGCAAAAGGAGAGTGTTCAAAAAAATAGAAAGGCAGATAACAAATGTTCTTGTTAAATTATGAGATGAAAAAAATCAGAGTCCTGATGAGCGGAGGCTGACAGGGTGTGGCCACTGAAAGACTGAGGATGGAGACAAAAAGCTGAAAGAGAGGGGGCATGGACGACAGAGACAGGGAGACTGAGTGATGGATAAATGGAGCGGAGTGTGGACGCCATGTGGGAATTTACTGAAGTGAAGACAAAGGAAGCATGAAAAGATGTAGCAGAGTCGGAGGAGACGCGAGGAGAGAAACCAGGGAGTGGAAGGAGTAAAGGATGAGCTCATTGCAGTCGCTGAGCTGATGACACGAGGAGGGGAGGGAGGGGTCCACTGCTTGTCTGCGAATCGATAGCCGGCGTCTGACTGCAACACACACACACTCACACACACTCTGCAGACAGCTCTGCCGGCATTTCAGCATTCCTCTGTAAACCTCCAGCATCCACCAGGAACACTGAGATTATTTTCTCTAAACTCCAGTTTGTGGAAAAGAAGAAGAAGAAGAAGCTGCTCCTGGCTCAGCCTCCCTCCATCCTCGCTCTCCAACTCCCACATCACTCCCACACCCAAGGATCCCCTCCCCACCTCTCCCACATCACTTCCTCCCTCTTTAACCTCTCCAAACTAAACATTTTCTCTTAGATGCCTGCCTGAACCTTTTTTAATTTTTTTTAAATTTTCCAACGCTTCTGTGGATGCTCTTCTCTTCTTCTCTACTTTGGTGCTACCTGTGGAGGTCCTCTGGGTTTTCTGGTTGTGTTTGAGCACCCCCCCCCCAACCCCCTCCCCCCTGCTGAGAGGAACCATGCTGGGACTGGACGTGTGTGAGTTTGGGGGTCAGGTGCTGGAGCTGCTGTGGCTCACCATGTGCTACAGAGGTGAGGCGATGAAGGGTGGGTTAACAATAACTTCACTCATTCACACTAATCGCTGCCGTTTAGAAGTTTTCTGATTATAGATTAACATGCTGGGTGCACTGGTTTCAATAAAAATGGCTCTTTTTGTGTGTGAGAGTGCACCTCTTTCCTGTTGGGTGTGGACAGATGTTTTCGTCTGGCCAAAGCAAAGCCAATGGTGATGAACAGATGTGGATCATGACTCCTGTGTGTGTTGATGCGAACAGGTTCTTGTTTTCTGTGGCTGTTAATTCAAAGGGTTTATAAAACAGTAAGACATGGGGGAGAGGTGTGTGTGAGCGGGATGATACAGCAGAAGCTGGAGTGAAATGATGTCACCAACATCTGCTCCAAGATTTACTGCTGCTCTTTGATTTTCTGTGCCTGCAACAGCACAGTTTGGACAACATAATGCAGGTGTTTGTGTGTGTGTGTGTGTGTGTGTGTGTGTGTGTGTGTGTGGTACACTGCAGCAATGCTGAAGTGTAGCAGATGGAGGAACGGTGCTGGGGTTTCCCCGTACCCAGATGTGTGGATAAGTGAGTGACTTTTGTGTCATTAAAAAAAGAGAAAAAGATCAGAGTGAGGGCGTTTGTGGAGATTTGAGCTCAGACAAAAACAATTACATGTGTAAACTGCAAACTAATACACTTTCAGAGTAAATATGAGTATTTTATTGTATTTTAAATTGAACGAGGGACTCACGCCCTTCAAAATGTTTCATTTATACCATCCACATGTTAGTTATTATCATATACATGAAGAAAAACAGGTTTGGTTTAGAGAAATTGTGATTCAGATCTTTATGAACAGTTGCTATCTTACCTGTTGTAGATCGCTCTTTGTCTTCAGACTCCAACCCTTCAAAATGTTCTGGTGGTTCATGTGGATGATATTAGGTTGTTGCACACTTTCTATTATGTTGGTTTTCTGGCAGAAATTTAAAGCTGTTCCTGTAGAGGTGCTACAGCTAGCTGTTTCTGCCACTCTCTGCGCTCAGTTCAAACCTCAGAATTCGTTGTAAACAAACAGACCGTGATGTAAGAGTTCATAAAAATGCATGATGATTCTTATTATTTTATCCATGCCTCAAGAACCACAGGGTGGATTTTAATGACAGCCTCAGAAAATAATGAACGAATGTTCATCGGAAACTGTTCAACGTTTGGAGTGATTTTTGTTGGAGATGGCCACTACAGCTAATTAACATTAGAAAACACTAAAATGGATACAGCTTAGACACAAATATGGAGCCCAGATTGCAGAATCAACCTTTATTGTCATTGCACAGAAGCACAACGAAATGACATTTCAGCACAGCCGTCCAAAGAAAACAATATGGGTAGACGGGGGTGCATGAGGCTGCAGCCTCGTGGGAAGCGCTGCCCTTTTCGTTTAGATAAGGAAAAGAGAACACATGAGGAAAGAGGAGTTATAAAAAAAATCATATCTCACAGTGTGTTCTTGATGGGTCACATTGAGAGGTTGCAAAAACACCTCAGCACAAGGTGTAGTTGTTGAGAGTAATCCACAATATATATACCGAGAGCGCTAACAGACATGATTCAGCATTTTGAACACAAATTATTTTGGCCAAAATGACTTCATCTCCATTATTTCTCAACATAAAGTGTTTTAATTTAAAACTCTGGCATTAAAGGCTGCGGTGATGTGGATTCCCTCAACAAATGATTGTTTTTTAACTGATATTAGAGTTGTTTTATGATGGCAGCAATCCTCTTTGGTCACAGTTTGCTTAAATTACCTGTTAAATTATCAGTCTGGTCAAACAGATAAATAAATAAAAATTATATTTGTCTATTGATTAAAACAGATAAAGATAAATGGTACATTGCATGCTTTTCTTTCCAAATTAAGCTGAATTTTCCAAAGAACTAGTGATGTTCGCATGTTTGTGCAGTTTTTTTCCTCCGTTTTATTTACAACAAATCACATCGCATCAAAGAGAGTTTGGAAAAATGAGAAGTGGTGGATTTTAATCAAAACGTGTGGAGAAGAGACTCTAAGTTGCAGTTTACTGAGGCGAGAAGCTTGTTCTGGTTCAACGTTCTGTGCAACTTCATGTAATAAGATTTTGCAAAATGTGCTCAAAGTATGTTCTATGAATGACTCTCAGCTACTTCCACGTCCCGTTTCAGCTCAACGTCTGTAAATTTAACAAGAGGTGCAGCCATTTTTGTGTTGGCTGCTGACAGCAGAAGTTAATCATTTGAAGAAGAATGATTACCTTCTGAGAGCGTCATCAAAATCTGTCATCTGGCTCATGAGTTATTTTGCTAACACAACAGACAAACACACAGAAAGATGGGCAAAAACATAAAAAGGTTCTTGTTCTGTTGATAGTTGCTGCCAGGAATGAAACAGCACCCTAAAGAAATAAAATTATTGAGGCCTGTGTGGCTGGATTTGTTTCGTGAACCGTCAGTCAGCAAAAAATAACATAAAAAATGGCTCATGCAGCCGGCAGCAGCCCTCAAAACCAGATTATTCCTCCTCCTTGTTTCCTCTCTATAACTCAGACAAATCCCAGACTTCCTTCTTTTTTTATTCTCCCTTTATTTAATTTCCTGAGAAGAACTTATTTCACGGCTGAATCTTTGTTCCACTCTTCTCTCCATCCATCTCTACCTCTCAGGTCTGCCCTGCTTCTCCCACCTCCCCTGCTAACATCCACACATTCACACTTGCAGCTTGTCAGATTCAAGCCATTAGGTATTCTCACACACCCCCTGCTTCGGTTTGTCTGGTAGACCTAAACGAGGCTGTATGGGTGAGCAGACACATATGAGACCAATCAAGTCAGTCAATTAGACAACCTGCTGTCTCATCAAGAGTGCCCCCGGAGCAGCCGAGGACAGGTTACTGCCTGGTTCAGAGTGTTTGAGGCTGAAATGTCAATAAAAAGAAGGATTTAAGGGATAGAAACAGTCGTTTCCTCCTCATTTTAATGAATTGAATTACACAAAAAATGTTCTATGAAATTGGTCAGCTCTTTGCAGTGGGGTTCTGTGGAAAGTTTATGAACAGTTAATATCTTATCTGTAGAACTTGTTTTAAACAACCTCAATTTGGAGAAACAGAGTTGAAGACTGTATGACTCTGTCAAGATTAGCAGGAGTTTTACCCCAGATTTGTTGATGATTATTCAGTTTTTCCTCAAATAGTTGACCCCCACCCCTTGTTGGATACCATACAGTTCCCCCAGTCAGTTAAAGTTTAATCACCTCAAATCCTGCAGCTGAAAACCCCTCTGATGAATGAAACAGAGGCTTCAGGTACAGAGACATGTGCTGCTAATTCTCCTAATTGGGGTATTCTCCTAATTCTCCTAATTTTTAACTAATTTTGTTTTTTCCGGTCTAACAGATTAAGGCGGCGGTGGATGCCCATATTGTGGCAGTAAAGCTGAGCTCACCTGTGACCATAGTCTCCACTGTATGATCCTTTCAGAATAAACTGTGATGGCAGATTTAATTGGGATTTAATGTATTTTATTTGTTTTATTTTATACATGGTCATATGATTATACAGACTGATAAACAAGAGCCACAATTTGATTTTGTTCTTCATGTTCATGCGATGTGATTCCTGTGTTGACATAATGTCTGCAGCTTTTTTCTCACATATACTGCAGGTTTCAAGTCTCTCTTGTAAATAAGTTGCCACGGCTCAGTGGGATTAACCTGTATAAACGACCAAACTCATCCAACAACAAACCCTGATCTCATACATATTCTCCTTAAATGTTGTGGTGATCGTTCTGGCTTCACTGTCTTCTTTTTCATTGTGCGATAGTTTAAGGGGCCTTGAAAGCTCCTGTTTTATGTCTCGCCATGTGTCTTTTGGTGTGTAAGTGTGTGTGTTTTCTCATCTCTGAGGCCTCAACAGTATTTCAGCAGAGCAGTGACAGCAAAAATCAAAGGGCTATTAAAAAGCAGCAATTCAACACACATCATGACACACACATATTTATATATACATATTATGATTTTTTTCACATGTCACAAACAATAAATTTTAGTAGAATAGAGAAAGAGCACCATATTAAGGCTTATATGTACAAGTAGTCTGAGATCCCATTAAGAGGAGAGCATGCAGAGCATTCCCACAAATCAAGTATGACAGATTTAGCTGTCTGGTTTGTCTTAGCTTGAAAAAATGATTAAGAAAGCAACAAAGTTCAGTAGAACCGTTTCTCAAAAAGAACTCACAAATTTACCTTAAAGATTCGTTCAGTAAAACAGAGCCCAGTCTCTTAAAAACGATCCCAAATAATTCAAATGAAGCCGATGCTTCCTACAGCTGAGGTTTTGCAGTCAATGTTTCCTGATGGGCCATGTTCAACAGGAAGTCTTTGTCTGGGCGGCCATGTTGAGTCTCTTTCTGTCTGTGCTTCCTATAGATGCAAGAGCTTGAAGAGCATTATTTTGAAGCACCAAGAGAGAAGAGCTAAGAACAATGGGATTTATGATGATGAGACAGTTTCATGGCTTGGTTCGGCCTTTATAGAGCAGGGGTGGGCAACTTTTTTTTTTTTCCAAAGGGCCAATCAAAATGTTTAAAGCAATTGAAGGGCTGCGTGGATTGTAATATACTGTAAAGGACCAATAATCTGGGAGACTTTTTTCAAGCCTTCATTTAGCATGCTTACTAAAACTATGTCTCCCCAATATTATTTAAGAATCTAAGACAAACTTTCTGTAAACTGGCTCGTGTGACAACATATTATCCTAAACACAAGAATAAAATGTTACACGTTTGATTTTTGGTGTCTTTAATGTTCAGTCAAGTTCTGGAAACACATCAACTAAAAAACAAAGTTTTAGCCTTTCTTTAGAGGTTTTTGATGTATTTGTCCAAGATGCTTGATTTAAACTTCTTTAAATGTCATTGATAAACAGCAGGCCTTCATCAACTTAATATATATATATATGTTTTTCAATTGTGAATTTTGGGGACTG